CAATGTACTCAACATTGAAACTATTCGGCGCAGCGGGAATTCTCCCGTGTGTGCTTACAAACAGTACAGGTGAGGTAGTCAACCTACGCGAGGGCGGGATGCGCCATAGTTTTCAAGCCAAGCAGTCCAACCCTCCGTAGACTTTTAAGTTTGCGAGTAATGGACTTTTCAATTTGTTCGTTTTTATCGTGGCATGTTAAATCACGTACAAAGCGATTAGCGACTGCAGGAATTGCAAGCATTTTTCGAACATAACCGTTATTCAGAACAACTACCCGACATCCCTCGTCGGGTTTTAGTATTGATACGTTTTCACTTTTGCACAGTACTTGCAAGGAATCCAGTGCTCTAACTCAACATTGCAAAATTATCAATTTTAGTATTACAAAAGTAGTTAGTTAGAACTACCGCCTTAGCTTTAAAGCAAGCGGCCGCGTCGTCAGTGAATGGTGTCAAACTTGACAGTTGTTCATACAGGTATCACACAATGCCCATACTGTAGTATTGCTACGATGGCACCGAGAAACTGAAATCCCGCGATAAAACTTCAAGCTGAGGGATAATTAATGGAAAAGTTGACAACATTAGCACATGCTTCTCGAGTTGTACACGCGTACGTTAGTTAAAACATTCTGATGATATGGAGCTTAGGAGAAGTTTTCAGGTTGTTGACCGCATTTCCACCATTAATTACCGAAGTAAATTGATAAACTTTACGCTGCACAAATGGTCCAAGCTAATCAAGACTTAATCGAATCATCTTATTATGACATAAATTAGACAATACGCACTTCGCAAGCTTCAATGTCGGATCAACAGTTAGTCTAGCAGAAGGAGGACGATGACCGCGTTCCAGAATGGGGAGCGCGGTTAATGAACCTACCGTGGCTCTTTTAGAATGAATGCCGCTCAGTTACGGTTGCTGTCCCCCCCCATCCAAAAGTCACCCAATGTTTAGTGAATTTTGCAAAATGCGCACTGCCTGTGGTGCGCGCGTGCAGAAGCATGAAGTTCTCTCACCTTAGTGTTGAGAACATGTGGAATTCACGGCAGACGGGTGGTTAAGTGAAGAAATCAGCTGAGCGCAAGCTGGTGGAGGACAGACGGCCAGGCCACATTAGCCTGTTTTGGTCATCGAGCGAGATGAGTAGACATCCACAACGCGTTTCCAGGGGCAGTTTGCTGTCAGCTAACGTCGTGCGGAGTATTGTAGATAATGGCTAACCGTAGGGGTTGGAGCGATCGACGAGTATCTGTGTGTATCGCTGGTCAAACCGAAACAGCCAGCCACCCAGCGAAGGCGGCATAGGCAAGCTGCAACCCGAAAGCAAAACTACGTCGTGAATGTGCGCACTTGATGGCATCTTAGTGAATCGGGTGGCTTGGATTAGGTGTGCGCAATATAAGGCAATGCAAGTCGTGTCAATATCATTGAAGCACTGCCTCTGGTACTGGATCACGAACAAACACTGCACTCTGGATAACGTAATGTGCCTGTTAATCAGCGCGTGCTGATTATTCTGCTTTATGGTGAATGCGGTTTAAACGCCACATCAACTGTACGAAGATATAACGCAATGAACACAGGAATGTGTCCCGATACATGCTTAAACTAGTGCAGAAGTTCGAGCAAACTGAGTGTGTGTGACATGAAGAGAACCGGATCGCCTCGCATCACCACGGACGACTGTTCAGCTTGCGCTGTAGTCAGTGAAGTATCAAAAAGTCCCGATCTCAGCGTTCGTCAGATCGCACAGCACTGTGACGCGGGCCGACACGCGGTACATCGGATATTACTTGAACGAAAATTTCGAAGATTCGGTGCACTTCAAGTGCAGGTTTTGAACCCCTGCGATCCGGAGGAGTGGCATGAGTTTTCGCGCTGCTTTCTGGATCAGAGGGATATTCATTTTTTCATCTTTACAGTCGTGGTACTGCTTCATCTGCATGCAACAATGAAACAGTATGCTGGGCTACCAGCAACCCACGAAAACATACCGCGTCACGTATACACCACAGTGTAAAGCTGTTGGTTTTGGCTGATTTAACAAGCCAGAAAATAGTGGGCTCATATTTCTTTTCCGGGAATGTAACCGGTAGGTTGTTGTCTTAAGGTACTGAAACCTTGTCTATTCCTAGCATCGTCGTATTTGGAAATACTGCAGTCATTTGCGCCTCCACAGCTGGAAGATGAAGGGGTATGCAGTACCATTTGGTGGTAGCAGGATGGTGCACCTACACCTTCTGTGTACTTACCTCACCGACAAATGTGGTCACCACTGGATCGGAAGCGGTGGACCAATGAAGTGGCCTACTCGCTCACCAGATTTGAACCCCATTGATTTTTTCTATGGGGCTATATGAAGCGGCGAGTGTACAAAACATGGCCGCGTACTTTGTACTAATTGAATGTCGCGCGATCACGAGATATTTTGGAGTACGTGTTGACCAACTGCACCAAGCGGTTTCTGCACTGCAAGCAAAAAGCCCGCGGACATTTTGAACATATCCTTCACAAACATAGATGATCGTCTCAACCGATTTCTGCTAATATAATTATCCTCTTACACAAATGTGTTAACGACTAAATTGTTCCACTGGCAAATGGTGCTAATAATGAGTCCGGTCGGATAGAATCTCTAACGTGCAGGCTGTCGTTGAGCATATAAACAGCGCAGGTACTGAAACGTTCGATGGCTATTTACAGCGGAATCACTAGGTCGCTATGTTCTGAGGTTCGTTCGGCCTCAAAAAAAGCCGAATGTGTTGTTGACTCAGGCTATTGCCTCTGAGATTGGTCTTCGGGATGAGTTGCAGTAGGTGGCGGCATACGAGAGTAGGGTAGACAAATATGAGGTCTCCGCGTCGGCGATCAAGTATTAGGATAGGTTGGTAAGATTCTCCGCTGTGGAAGCACAAAGGTCTGCAGTATTTCCAAGTACGACGATGCTAGGAATAGACAAGGTTTCAGTACCTTAAGACAACAACCTACCGGTTACATTCCCGGAAAAGAAATATCAGCCCACTATTTTCTGGCTTGTTAAATCAGCCAAAACCAACAGTTTTACACTGTGGTGCATACGTGACGCGGTATGTTTTCGTGGGTTGCTGGTAGCCCAGCATACTGTTTCATTGTTGCATGCAGATGAAGCAGTACCACGACTGTAAAGATGAAAAAATGAATATCCCTCTGATCCAGAAAGCAGCGCGAAAACTCATGCCACTCCTCCGGATCGCAGGGGTTCAAAACCTGCACTTGAAGTGCACCGAATCTTCGAAATTTTCGTTCAAGTAATATCCGGTGTACCGCGTGTCGGCCCGCGTCACAGTGCTGTGCGATCTGACGAACGCTGAGATCGGGACTTTTTGATACTTCACTGACTACAGCGCAAGCTGAACAGTCGTCCGTGGTGATGCGAGGCGATCCGGTTCTCTTCATGTCACACACACTCAGTTTGCTCGAACTTCTGCACTAGTTTAAGCATGTATCGGGACACATTCCTGTGTTCATTGCGTTATATCTTCGTACAGTTGATGTGGCGTTTAAACCGCATTCACCATAAAGCAGAATAATCAGCACGCGCTGATTAACAGGCACATTACGTTATCCAGAGTGCAGTGTTTGTTCGTGATCCAGTACCAGAGGCAGTGCTTCAATGATATTGACACGACTTGCATGGCCTAATATCGCCCCACCTAATCCTGCTGTGCCAGTTTCTGGAAAGGGGACAGTTTCACTTGCCCCTAACTCTGGGGTTGACTGCATCAACTGCTTCTGCGCCAACATCGCAATGAGCTTAGCCTGCGACTTTTCGAACTGTATTGGCTGTTGCTGCAAAAGTAACCTGCAACTATTCAAAGCTGACCGCCATTACTTGGTTCGATTGAAAGTGCCGTCGCCACTGCGGCCTCCGAGTGGATCCCGGTAATTGGATGGGTCGGTTATTTCCTTCTTCAGTGGCGCTTCATGTTGGAGTTCAGGGCCTATTTTATGATCCTACAATAGGTGGATTGCGGTGTATCAAAAGGGTCAGTGTTGGGGCTGTGCATATTCTTGGTCTTTAACAGTGGCCTTGTGGACGTCATCGAGTCGAATTTCCTGCTTTGTATCGATGACATCAGGATATGGCAGGCGACCGGTAATCAGGAAGACAACGATCTGCTGTAACGGGACTTAGAGGGTGATTTTGAATGACCGCACGCAAATCGACTTTCGTTCAACTCGGGCAAGTTTAAAACTGGACATGTACGCCATAAGTTCCCCGACGCATATAGTCGTGGAGACCACATCCTGAGGACCGTCTAATAAGAGCGCGACCTTGGGGTAGTGATGGAAGGCGACCTCGGCAGTTCGTCGCAGTCCTTTAATGCGTCTAGAACACTACTGGTAGAAATCTATAGGCTTTAACGCGATGTACGTGTAGTCGCTCGCCACGTTGACCGGTATCTAGTTTGCTATTCATCAACAATACCAAAGTTCGGTGCTAGCCATTCGGCCACCGGTGCAGCATAGGTCGAACTTGTCGAATGTTATCGACAGCCTATTTGACTGAATACTTCCCAACCAAAGACGTAGCGGGAAATTAAGAACTAAACGAAAGAAAATCCCGGATTAGCTTGGTGTATGAGGTCTGCTTAATTAGGTGTCTCAAGATGGGTTAACGCAGTGGCTCGAGATCCCAGCTGACACAGTGAACTTGAGAACGCGCGACTAGACTTCAACCCTTTAATATCAACTACTCACCCGTAAAAGTTGTTAACAATCACATCAAGTTGGAGCTGTTGTGTCTTTACTTTCCGCAGCTGCTAGTTTAGATCATGGCGACGCAAGTAAGGAAAACCAAATATGCTGTGACCAGCTAGGTGCTCGGAAAGACTAAGGATCCATACTTGGTTAACGGACGAACTAAACAAGAGGGTCACCGCCAGAAAGTAAATCCCAGTCAGGGATGGCGAGGAAAGTCTACCATATACGAGACGAAGAAGAAGAGTGTGTTTTAAGGGATGAGATCTATTGTGTCTGTGGAAGAGTGGAGCTTGTCCGTTGGAATACACTACCCTGAGGACGCATGAGAAGGGATGAAAATGGAAAAAAGAGTAATCGCAATATCACGAGATATGATAAGAATGTCTATACACAAGAAAGTGATTTTTAGAAAACCGTTTGGACAAGCAATGTAAGTGGATAACAAAAACGCAGCAGATGTGGATATCAGCAAGTGGCGTTAAGCATAAAAACGGACAAGGAGAAAACAAGTCAAAATATCTCGAATGAAAGTGGTAAAGGACGCTTGTAAGAATTAAAAATATTGCACGGAAACTCCCACACATAGGGTGTTAGAGATCACGGTAAAAAATGCCAATCAGGTTATTGCACAAGAACACCAAAGCGGTAGGCATCGACAGATTAATGATTGAGCGTTATGCATAAAACTCTCTGGTAGGAGCCCGTTGATATGCGTTCATCACGGGAGTTTTCTTGGGTTCGTCCAACGCATAAGAACCTTCATCTTTCTTTCGGAGACGATAAACGCAAAAGAGGATAAGTAAAATCAGCAGCAACAAGACGACTACGACGCTTCCGACAATGCCTGTGAGAGAAAAAGAGTTGGATTACTAGGAAATGGGAACGCATCCGAAGATGGATCAAGTCTGCAGTAAATCTAAAAGTGGAAACCAGTGTCGAACGCATGATAAAGTTGCATGAGGGGTCGATTCGGGTGATGGAGGAGTAGAGAAAGAAACTCATCCCTGAACGTGGGCTACACAAAACAGGTAAATCAACTAAAAGACAGCGCTACTGAGAAAAAAAGCGCGAATAAGAGACTGCGAGAAAGTGTAGACACAGTTCGTGTAAATACGCATTGTGAGAATGTCAAGTGGTACAGCAAAGATACGCACCGGCGACACGGACTCCAACACTCGCATGCGCAGCCAAAGGGTTAGGCCGCGCAGTACTCACAACGTGATCATGCGGCTTCCAAGCCACCACACAGCACGGTTTAGTGAACAAAGCCGTCCTGCCAAAACTCACGCCCAGCGTAGTGGGTTATTTGTACTATAACTAAGGTGTCACGATCTGCGGCGCCTTTATGGGGATTCAGTAAAGGCTCCTGCGTAAAAAGATTTTCTTCTTCTTCATTAGGGTTTAGTGTGCGGTCGTGTGGTCACGGTCGTCGTGAATGGCGTATGATACTTAAATTGCTGTGTTTCCGTCATCGTCTGTACGGCAAATAGGTTTCGCGCAGGCGTTTTCGCGTAATCGTCTACACGACGCGAAGGTTACATTGGGTGCAGTCAGCTCGAATCTGAAGTCGTTTGTGAATAGACCGAAGCACGTCAAATAAATGAACCGATGAGTTTAGGCTGTAGTTGACAAGTTGATTAAAAAATGCGCTGATCATGAAAACCGGACACCATATACGGAAATCAGGTAAACTACGAACTGCAACCAGCACAGGTGGGTGACGAAGACCAAAAGGAACTCGATACACATATCAAGTAGAACACAATGTGGTAACGCCAGCTGAAGAGACTGAAGATGACTAGAGATAGCAGTATGTTGCCAAACATAAGGTGACGAACAAGGAAATCGTTCGATCCAAAACAATACTATACATGAAGAATATTTGGCATACAAGTTGCCGTCCACGTGGTGCAGTCGCATAATTTGCTAAACGCATATTGATGTCAGCAACTTGAATCACCTCGCAGACATATGACAGATGATACTAGATGCGATGAACTTGTACACTAATCCCTTGAAATTCGCGGATAAGTAAGGAACTGGCATCACTGCTATATATATTGTTAGCCACTCAAACAGCCTGACTATTCGCAACGAATGTTGGGTAGATGTGAGAACCACTGATGTGTCACACGCATTCATCTGTCAAAACAGTGCAATTCGACAGTGTGAGGCGCTCAGTGTAGATCTATCCACCAATGTTTAGCAGTGCAAAAGCCATGGATAAGACCTCCACACCACACAATGGGAAAGAAAATCGTAGGATGGTAACCCTGAGCGTCATAACGGACACAGTTGAGACCACCGCACAGAACTCCAAAAGAGCGCGTGACTAGCAGCATGGCTATCGCAAATATCTATGTGCTTTCCGCGCACTCCCTCAAAGATGGTTAGCGTGTTAAACATATGCAAGAAAATGAAGCAAAGACGGTCTTGAGGGCTGTGAACGCACCCGTGATGAGTCGGGGGAGAATACAGCGCCGTTATATTCCCGAGAAGGTAAGACATGACCAATGCAACCTCAAATCTGGATGAAACGATTCCGCAACTACCTGCTTCAGCCCTCGCAGGTGACCGACGGGAAGTCGCAGTAGGGTGCATACGAATGGATTGAAGGCAATTTTGCTGAAGCAGTTGCTTCCGTAACATTCGGAAGTTATGCTTTGAGTTCTCATGAAGATGAGAAAAGCGGCTAGGCAGTGTCCATCAAGGGGTGCTTATCCCTTCTCGTCCAATCGCAACTGAATCATCGCCGTCTTTCAGCAACGATGGAGGCTAGTCGGCAACATTACACACATCGTTCCACTTCAGAACTAACAGTTCAAGCCACCTCCTATAAGTGCTGATGGCAGGAGTGTGATTTCAACACTGCATACACGTTTAGACGATCTAGCTATCAGCTGAAAAGCGATGAACAACAGTAATTCCTTACTGCTGTGCAGGTGTTTCGTCACAGAACAGTCATTGGTAATCGCTGGGTTACGACTTTTGCAGTCCCTAACATGGTCAGCCAAATTGTGAGGCCCATTCAGCGAGGATGAAGGCCAGTTCTGTGAGAGGGAACCGATGTCGGACGTTCGCACAAAAGTGAGGCTTACCGTCATCTAAACCCAGTGGGATGCCTGTACAGCAGAGTGAGAAGTAGTGCACGCCCAAGTTCATCACATGGACAACCTAGCTAGCAAGCTGAAAAATGTGGGATGAGGAGATGATGGTTCGATTTTAAAACCCTAGCCGACATAGCATATTTAATCCACTACTTGGAGAACCAGGACACTGACGTCGTCTGACCAGTCTGGCAGCAGTAGCTCTCAGAGGCCCACGGGTGCCACGCAGCATGGTACAATGGATCAAAGACAACCAAAATATGACATTTATGTAAGGACTGATTCTAGTCACGATGTAAGTCAAATTGGTCAAAGTCCGTCGGATGAGTGAGAGCAAAACTCGGCTGTTCCCACTTACATCGCACGTGCCAACTGCAAGAGACCAGTCAGAACAACATTCGAGTGAAGTCATTCTACACACAGCATCAAATTAGTTGTCATTTGAGACATCCATCCACCGATCAGCCTCTCTAAGACGCATTTGTGACTTCAACAGATGTATGGCGTTGTTAGACAGCAACAGCAATTTTTTAGTGTAGCTTGATAGGAAGTTCTGCTGAGTGCATCGCTGCGGTTGACAGTAAGTGATAGTAAAACATGCATGAGTGCGTCACAATATAGTTGCGGACCCATAACGGACCGACAATGTGCGCGATCAGTGTCTGTGGTGATGAGATGATAAAAATATCCCTGAAATAGGTTTAGTTGGGCACATTCGGTCATGAAAACCGATCGGCATCGCCGCACGGAAGCAGGAATTCCAAAACAACTTTATACGCGGCCCTATATTTCTACAGAATAATAAACATAAGAGTCCATGTTATCAACCGCTATGATGACGTTTATACTTCTGACCAGTTGGATGATGTCATGTAAAACCACTACAGCTACGGAGCCGTATAGCTCATCTTTCAAATGTACCCAAGTGCTCGATGGGCAAGCTGAATTAAGCCAAGCATAAAAGGAAGCTCCAGTGTGCTGGCAAAACACACAAAGCATGAAGGAATGCATCTTGTTTGTGAAGACAGATGTTCCTGATTTGTCATCATGTGTTTTTGCCCCTTAGGTACGAATTTGGAAAGGAACCTTTGCAAGTCGCTAGGTACACTAACTTATGTGGATAGCTATTAGACCTGATATATAAACGCAATTCACAGAGCAAGTTAACGGGGCCAATATCCACACAGGCAGAAAGTCAGCCTATGAACAGTTGGCGGTTAGGATGGAATAAGCTACTTGCTGATGACATTGTACAACATCATTTTATAACAGAAATGAGAGAGGATGTCTAGTAGTACTAAGTGAGCTGATTACAAATATGCAAACTCCAAATGTTACTATCACGTCGGGTTTTTGAATTTAAGTCTTCTGTTCGGCTAAGCAGTGCGTCCCATGCATTGAATGCTCGCCTGTGATCGGTCCATTGGTTCCGTGTAATCTTACAAAAGAAGTGTTCTTGGTCATGGTATTCACCTGATACTGAAAGTTGATTGAGAGCTGTGTTTCCTTAATTGATATGTTGACCATGGCTCAAAGACGCTGCGGTGGCAATGGTCGATATCATTTTGTTACATATGCGAACAGTTTACTACAAAGTCGCAGTGCAGACCCATTTCCTCACTACTGAAGTTTGACTACCACATATTTCGCGATAAAACTGGGAGATCAGGATAAGAAGTGGGCGCCACATATAATTAGTGTATCGTGCCTCCTTAATCTGACTCTGTGACACAAGGACAAAGGTAAGATGCCCTTTGAAATCCCCATGATGTGGAGGGAGCCGAAGGAGCACACGACAGACTGCCACTTTTGCCTAACCAGTGTCATTGGACTCGCCAATCGAAGCAAGAACAAAACTCATTATCCCGAACTTCCTATCAGCTATTCGACATGTTCCTAATGATTGCACCTTACCCATTCCAATACCTCCAGTGAACGTCAGTGATGATGAGTAGTGATTCTGCATCGTCAACTTCCCCTGATTCTGACATCTGTGAAAAGTTGGAACCTGATGTTGTCAAGCCATATTTTATTGAACAATCAGAGCTGAATGACTTGGTACGTGACTTGGAGTTGCCTAAACACAAGACCGAGTTGCTGGCATCTCGGCTGCAGCAGTGGCACTTATTTGCTGCAAACTAAGGTTACTATATACGGTAAGCGAAGTGCTACCTTGTCCGGTTTCTACGGCACGTCAGAAACCTGCTACTGTTTCGACGGAGAAGGACTGATGAAGGAGCTGGGCGTGAGGCATATCAGTGATGAATGGCGTTTGTTCATTGACTCGTCCAAGAGAGGCCATACTGCTCCACAATGGAAGTGTTTACCCAACTGTGTCCCCGTTGCATGCCACCAATCTGAAGGAGACTTACGAAAGTATGCAATGGATACTCGCTGCACTGAACTACGATAAGTACCATTGGAACATCTGTGCTGACTTCAAAGTCATGGGACTTCTAATGGGTACGCAGGAAGACCTCACAAAAGATTGCTGTTTCTTGTGCTTTTGGGACAGCAGAGCATCTCAACAGCATTGCATAACCGAAAAGTGACCAGAGACGGTGGAGTATGCTGCAGGGAAAATGAGTGCAAACTATGCATCTCTTGTGCAACCTGATCATATCTATTTACTACCCCTGCACATGAAGCTTGGTTCGATAAAAAAACTTTGTCAAAGCTCTCAAGCGAGGGTTTTGCGTTTCAGTACCTAAAGAAGAAATGTTTCCGAAAAGCAGTAATGTGATGCTCGAAGAAAGGATATTTAATGGGTCTGATTTTCGCCGGATAATGACAGACAGTAATTTCGAATGCCAGATGACTTCATTTGAGTTAGAAACGTGGCGATCATTCAAGGCAGTGTGAACAGGATTTTTGGACAGAACAAAGGCAGAAAATTACAAAGACATTACAAAAATAGTCAATGCAGAATACCAGGCTGTTGGTGCACGAATGTCACTCAAGATTCACATTCGACATAATCACCTCGACTTTCTCCTTGAGAATTTGGGATCTATTTAGCGACGAACATGGTGAGCGCTTTCCCCAAAACATTTCAATCATGGAGTAGCGCTGTAGTGGCAAGTACACGCCTTCTATGGGGGGTGCGTTTTGTTGGTATCTGCAACTTGAGAGCACTGGATCATAAAAGCGACGAGCGCAACGAAGTCATCATTACTCAGTGCCAAGCTGCAGTCAGTGGTTAGCGGCGAGGGTTGCAGTGAGGTTTTAAACGCATCTGCCATATAGATGCATTCTGTGTATGTTGTGATTCAGTACATGCACATATAATTCGTACGACGTAGCCTTTACATTACTAAGAATAATCATTTGCTTATAACAATGTCATTTGATGTGCTATGTAACATCCGAATGCATTTCTACGATCAGTGGAGTGTATTCTACAAAGTAGAGACATCAGCATTCCTGTTATAACAAATAAAGTTGTTATTGTTGAACAGTGGGATTACTTTCTGTTAGTATCGCCGCACAAACCGTGTGCAAACGGCGCAATCTGCATCGTCGGGTGATCGCAGAGCACAGAGGCTTTCACATACGTTCGGGGGGCGGTGTTATGCCATCACAAGTGCCTGAAAGATCAACTACAAGATAACTACAGTGTATCTCTGGTAGCCTGAATGAGGTAGATGAGTAGCGTGTGTACCAACTCAATAGGACCTTAAAAACATAGACCAGGGTCAAAGAAATTGATCAACGCGTATCATTATGAGCCGCGATAAACAGCAAAGGGGGTTGAGTCACTGGGAAAGAAAGGAGGTGAGCATGTTCGTAAATGAGTGGGAAATATCTTGCAGGAGCGCAGTGCACAGATCCGTATAGAAAATAAATCTCCAAGAGCAAACAGTAAGTAACACATGAAAATACTTGAAAGAAGTGACGGATGGTTAAAAAAACATACAAGACGAGGACGTAAGGAAAAGCGGAACCCTGCTTATCATGGAGTGATGAAAACAATCTACCAGCATTTTGGGTTGATGAATTGTTGTCGAATAACCGCAAACAGCCGGGAAGCTTCAAGGGTGAGAAGTTGAAACCGAGTTGTTAACAAGACGTCTGAATCACTACGTTGCGGACCGGTGTTCGTCAAAAAGGTGAGCTTGCGTAATAGAGAAAGTATGCGAAAGTTGGTCTGCATTTCATCTAGTGGTACAACGCGAGCTGCGGAAGGTCGCGAACATGTGAAGAGTATTGTGTACGCAGCAGTACCAGTCTTCCCTCTCGTGACAATCGCCCAAGACTGTCGCAGTCTACAGATGTCCCATGATTAGACAAACGTTTATCACTTGGTTGCTGACAGAATCAGTTTACCTGCGCTCAGGCTGTGCGCCGTCACGTTTCCAAGTCTCCCTTCCATGCGCGTTCCGTTCGTCGATCGTGCACCATACAGGCCACATGGGGCCAGGCTGCAGATAGGACTAGTGTTCTCAACAAGATTATGACAATGGGTCGAATAGATAAAGTCGAAATACAGGCTAGAGCAGAAAGATGTAAAACGGAAGAAAGTATTGTACTCACCTGCAATTACACCCGGTAGTCGGAAAATATGATCACGTGAAGTCCTCACCGGCCAAGGCTGGTGCAGAGAGCTAGACGCAAAATCGGAAATTGGTGTCATAACGCCACCGATCAGATGGGTATCCTCGTCGACGGACAACTGTCTGGACTCACGTTCAGATCGATGTTCGGGATAACGGGCGAGGGGTGAAAAAGCGTCTTGTGTTGAGGATAGTGGAACAGAGAGAAGACCGTCAAGAAAGCATTGACAGGGATTCAATTAAGCGGAACGGCACGTAGCAGTGTGAGGCAGAGAGAAAGGAAAACAAAAACGAGTAAAAGGGAGAAGTGGCCTAATGCTATTCGATAGTTCAGAGATGAGAAACCAGATGGCATACACGACGTAGGCAATCTAATAGGCGTGAGGCACTTTTTAGTACAAGAAAGTAAAATGACACTGCAGCTGAAGGCAATGTCGGTCAACGGAATGTGAGGTATGCAATAGAATAGAGGCGAGCAGCAAGTCTGCCGAGTGGCAAACAAAAAGTACGCTACTGAGCTGTATGGGCAGCGATTCGAGCCGAAAATTAAAAAAATTACTACGCTAGAGGAGTTAGTAAAGTTCAGTCAGTCAACTACAACTCGAAAAACACCGAAGCGCATCTATCCCAGCTACCATTACTCGCATCGTACCAATGTTTGGAGACAAAGCAAAAAACTGAAAAGCGCAATTATGGCAACGGATTCATCGTAAAAATAAAGGGGAACAGACTTGTCAAATAAACAGACCAAACACAAAAGGAAATAAGCCCAGATGGCTATCGTGACTTCACCGAGCGAGTATAAGATCTTCAACAACTGAGATGGCTTATCTTCGAGGAAAGCACCCCGACTCGAGCTTCGCGGTTAAATTATTCACATCCATTGCCACAATATGGAGTTGGCCAAGCTGGGACTTCACACAGTCGCAGTAATCTGAAACTAAACACACCGAGGAGGATACTGCCAGTCACAGTTGCACGGCACAGGCGATTTGTCGCCAGACACGAACTGGCGGACACTAGCATCACTCTTCGGTAGCGCAAACAGGTATGGGTGATGCTTCGCAGGCACCGGTGGGTAGAAACAACTAGTCTCTCAATGTTTTCACTCAGCAGTGATTATGTGTGGCTACTTATTACGACAACGTCGAGTGAACTGTAGCCTTTTAGTGATAAGGTAATATTCTGCCGTCGTTTAGGGAGTTGAGGTCTTGAAAAGCCACATGAATATTACCAGCGCGTGCCGTAGCCTTTAGGGCGATTTATCAGTTAAAATGATTCCGTTACCGAGGTAAGTAAACCAATTAGACACACAGAGTAAATATCAGATATTTACGAAGACTAGAGAGGGGTTACTTCGAGTGCGCAACGGAAAGTACGGCATTACCTATACATCAGCGGTTCATGCTAGCAGCTAATAGAATAATTGTGTATGATACTGACAAATATCTCGCAATACCACTGGATAAGTAAAGGTGTACGGAAGGTTCACCCCAAGACAAACGAGGTGCCAGCAGTGTAGGATTATTTCAATCGTGTCGAGTTTGTGACGAGAAAGGTCATGATGTGCAACCCTTCGATCCAACTCGCTGAACCGGAAGTATAAGGTGTGATTGACTTCATGTGCGGACGCTATATCCTTACATGGGTGAAATAGAAGTAAAGTGCGAGAGGAACGTAGCAGAATGATGGCGTTTCATTTTAGAAGTGTACCTCATCTTTTTAAAGTGACTTTGACCGACTAATTAAAAATTAGCGTAATCCACGAATAGCCGGCCAAATTATCCGTATATTCACATAACAGATGTCTCACCTCCGGTGATCACGTCAATAAAAAGACCACTTAATAGATTGACAGTGAGCCTGTCGCCGATGAGGACCACGGGATGTATGGTAAGCAAGGCCAATTGCTATCGTTGCAGCTTTACGGATTAGAAGCCAATGCGTGGTGTATACAAAGGATTGTCAAAAGCTTACAAAAGCACGTAAAGAGAGATAATGTAGTCCTCTGGTTGGTGTTCGACAGCAGATCCTCTATAGGCCAAATGGATCGTCTGGCACTGGGTGGCGTTCTTCGCTTATTCGTCCATACCCTATCTCGACGTGTATCATTCCCCGCCACTGCACCAAGATGAGTGGCGCCCCAGGCTGGAGACTCGGTGGCATGTGTAAGAGCATAAAGAAGAGAACCGCGGTTGACGTGCGGTTGCGTGTCTGGGTCTCCCAACTACGTCGAAAGAAAGAACGTACACCGAATAAATTTACATGCGCATTACTCATTTTTCCGCATTCATAACAGCCGCTAAAAAAACGTTCGTTCCTTCGAGCGACTGTGTGTAGTGCGCTTGTTGCTTTTGGCTGCAAGTCTCGTTCACATCCGGCCCGAGTGGAGAGTTTCGGAGCTGCTCCCAACCAACACTGCACTCCACGACCGACCGGTTTCTTCATGATTTGTACACGTCAGTAGAAATAGCTTGAGCTGAGAGCTGACGGTTTGCGCCTTGGTCACTAAGCCAGGGCTCTAATAATCAACAATGAATACCTCGCCCCGAGGTTGTCGCCACATGTGGTCGATCGCGGTAACGCGGGACGCAATCAGACAGTGCGAGGCGTGAGGATGTTCGTTCTATTCCCCCAACACCCTCCCTTCTTTGGTAAACGCATCCACTTCTTGAGCAACACAGCCTGACAGAGTTTGAAAATGTTTCGCTCGGGTGACGACCGCTGTACTCCGTTTCGTCGCTTCATTACCGTCTACAATAACCGCATAAGATTGGGAGCCTCGGCTGTTCACCACATCGACTTTGCCCAATTTGCTAGGGATCTAAGGAATGCGTGGCACCAACACCTAATCCCCTTCTTTAAGCTGCACAGAGCATGTCCTGGTGCAAATCTTCAGGTAAACAAACCGAAACCCATATTCCAGATCGCAACAACTCGGTGAGCGGCAAGGTAGTGTATCTTGGTGTCGAACCTTTGCGTCGAGCCACAGGGTATCAGTAAGCCAGGTGTTTCGTTATGTAAGTGCTATCGCCTGACGTCTGGTCAACTGTAATCTCCTTGCTCATATTGACTGCCGCTTCGGCCTTTCTGTTCCCTTGACTGTACCAAGAACTAGAGGTACAGTGACGAACTCCACATTTTCTCTACAGACGTTTGAAACATGGAGCAAGCAAACAGTGGTCCGTTAGTGGAGAGCACCGTATCAGGCATTCGCATCTCGTGAAGTGTGTCCGTAATGCACTTTTAACCATTTACGCGGTGGAGCTACTCCGTCACTCCAATCCAAAGAATCGCTGAAAGAGTCGGCTATACTTACGAACTGATTGTTTCTATACAAAGAGAGATCAAACCAAATATACTGAAACAGCTTTTTTGGAACATCCCTCAGCATTAGATCTCGCATTTCTGTTCTCATGACTTCTACATAATTGAAATCTGCTGATAAATTTGTGATGTCGGTGAGCATGTTCAGTACTATCTTGCCCTCTGGCTACAGTTGTTTACACCATTATGTCCTACGTGAATAGTTTCTCGTATTTTCTGCAGACAAGTCTTAAGCACGACGATCCTTTCTCCACTGAAGAATAGCTTATATTCTACGAAAAACTGTTCGCGAGCGCGGAAAAAAGCACTGATATGCCATTTGGCAAGTCTCTCCTTTTTGATCGTCACCTGTTTTTGATTATTTCAGTCAGCCATGGCGTGAGGTCCTCAGCCGTAGCTGTCTTCACATCTGTGACTTGCATGTTGGGTGGCAAACTAAAGTCGATAGTTTCATTGGTATCAAATGGAAGATTCTCGAGGAAGTTGGCTCGGGATCAAGGATTGGCAACGTACATGCCGTTGCCCGACTGATAAACCAACTCTGTGAATTTTGCGTTGTTCACCAGTTGAAGGAATAGTCTGCAGACGTTTCGTTGTCACGTTAGGCGACATCAACAGTGTGGCTTTAAGGGCCTCGTCAAGGGTTTTGAAATAAAAGTGCTTATTTATCGAGTTCTACTTTGAATAGCAGGCTTCAACGAACTCACGTGTTCGCCGGCTTCTTGCCTTTCCGAGGAATTTGGTGTGCCCTGTGTCGAATAAATGGTTTCGCTATCCATATGCATTAAAGTCAGGGAGTTCCGATCGTCGTGACGAACGTCTAGACGGTGTTCATGTAGCCTGATGCCAAGGTTTCTTCTTATCTGTCACACGTGGTATTCGTCACAGTTTCGGCGGCAGATCTTTTAGATCGCATCAGTTGATTACTCTACGCCGATTTTATTTTTCATATTGAAGAGTTTGCTTTGAATTGTTACCGTTGGTTGGTGAACAATTAATTCGACGTACTATTGCAGTTGGGTCACCATCCGCTGTAGTACTCGCGGTGTTGCAAAGAGTGGCTTGCTCATTAGTACAACCAGGGACTTGGGGTCCATGTGCACAATAGTTTACCATAAGAAGATGTAGGTGCGGGTTCGCTCCATAGCAAAGATCACTGCTAACTTTTTTCTCAAGCTGCGCATAATTGTGGTTTGCACTTGAAAGAATCCTGTTGTGTTAATCAGTTGACTTTCCTTTTCGCAAAAGAACAGCGTCAAACCCATGTTGACCGCTAAGACACTGAACCACTCACTGAATCATAATGCACGTGTCAAGAACTCCGTGATGGTTTACTTTATATGGACAAACACTGATTGATGTTCCTCTTCCCAAACCCATGAGGCCTTCTTGTGTTAGTTGGTGAATGGGTTGCATCATGTCGGCTAGCTTCGCAAATAATCTCCATTCAACTCGTTTACCAAAGCAACGACACGCATCACTGCACTTGCATCCTCCGGATTCGGCATGATTTAAATCGTGGCCTTATTTTCGGAGTCCATTCTGAGCACTTTGGACACTTTCCGGGTAATGACTAGTTGGCCCTACGACTGACCGTAGTAATAAGCCTTATATCTAGTATCCAATTGATCTCGCTCTTGGATTCAGCACGCACTGCCACATGCACTCCGCTTACCGGCACAGCAACTTGATCCGCGCCGTCACTCACTGACTGACTGTTCTCGGATTGTCCCCGAGATGAAATAAAAACAGTAAAAGACGGAACAGAAATACTCGCTATCTCTGGTGCGTGAACAAAAGCGTCGTGATTAACAGTGATGGCATCCAAACCCAATGTTGGTACTGTGAGTT